GGTTCAAATAATTTTTTTCCCTGACTGTATAAGACCTCATTGATCTGTGACCCAGTAGTAATTCAAATTACATGCATATAACCTAGTTACAACTAGCTCACCCTTTACCAGCTGCATCATTAAATATGATGCACACAGTAATGCATCACTAACTATAATAATATGAAATGAATGAATGTGAAGTGTTCCATTCTGCACAATGAGAACTTTTTATTTTTAGAACTTGAAGGATGTATTGTTGCTAATACTTTTGTACTTTTATGTAACATTTTTAAAGCAGGATTTTTACTTGTAACAATATTTTTACAGTGTTGTATTGCTACTTTTACTTAAGTCAAGTCAAGATTTTTATTTGCCATTTATGCATAAACAGACAGTCTAGGCATATAGGAATTCTTGTGCAGCTCTCCTTTGGAGTCAGGTAAGGAGTCAAAAGCCAGAAAGAACACTTAGTCTTAAAATAAAAAAGTTGCATAAAGGCAACAAAGCATTTAGAACTGCAATACACAAAAATAGGGTAATAGTATTTTCCCCAGTGAACCTCAAACAACTTAGTAATTCACATGGTGGAGTTGGATATGCCATTACACTTGGTGAGGTGAGGTGAGAGGTTACTGCACATGTCTAGTAAGGGGTTATCGCACATATATTCTCACATTTTCGTATTTGCCATCAGTCTTAGGGAAAAAAAGAGGGGAAAAAGCTGTTGTAAAGTCTATAGTTTTGTGTGTGATGATACTGTCTGCCCTGCTGTGCCTGAGGCTGTAGATGCAGTTTTTGTGTCTGAGCAGGATGTGAGCTGGGTGTCGTGGATCCCTGAGTATGTTTTCTGCCCTTTTAGGACAGAGCTGTGTGTATAGTGTATCCATAGCAGGCAGTTCAGTCCCAATGATCCTCTCTGCAGTCTTTATGACCCTTTGAAGAGCCTTCCTCTCTGCCTGTGTGGTGTTGCCATACCAGACTGTGATGCCAGTAGTGAAGATGCTCTCTACCGGTCCTCTATTAAGTCTGGGTGAGAGGGCGATGGTTTAGCCCAGCTTTTCTGAGCCGCCTGATGAAGTATAGCCATTGCTGGGCTTTCTTCACTGTAACCTTGTGTAACCCAACTCGTCTCCCCCCTTAATGAGGCCTAGAATGGTGGTGTCATCAGCATATTTAATGATGATGGTGATGTCATGGTTGGAGACACACAGTCAGTACAGGGTGTAGAGTTTGGGGCTGAGACAGCAGCCTTGGGGTGAGCCTGTAGTTCTTCCACTGCTGGTAGACATCACCTTTGGCATCTGTGGAGGCAAGTGTGAAAGAGGGCATTTGCTTAAATCTGTCTCCGCTGAGAGAAGCCAGAACAGAGAGAGAAGTCTATCTCACTCCTCACTGCCTTGAGAGTCAGATTTGATTATTGTTTACCTTTGTTCATCCAAATAAAACAAGTCTCATCATGGTGATTCCTTGCCAGGTCAACACTATAATATATTTACATTTGGGTCACCAAAATGTACTTTGGCCACCAGATTTAGTAGTTTGGTTGCATGTGGTGCTAGTGCTTAGAAATATTTGCATCTGTCCCTGTGGATGGATGGATATTAATTACAGCTGTTTGCATATAACTTTTCTTAACTTTGTTGCAAAGTGCTTTAACAAAAGGCATGACACTAATGATTACTATACGCTGAATTAAAAATAGATAAAACAGAGTGGGTATAAAATTCGGAAGGAATAAAATCATATAAATCAGTTGAAAGACAGTTTGAAAATGTGCATCTCCAGCAGACCTTTAAACAAAAGAAGTAGCTGTACAGTTGTAAAGCCCCTGGTTCTTGGTAAAGACTGTAAAGCTTTCCATGGTTTAGGTGCCAGGACAGCAAAGACATGGTCACCTTCGGTTGAAAAGGTCAAAACTCCAGCAACACTTGCAGTGTTGAACATCTTCTTTGTAAGAACAACATGTTTTGGCTTTTGGACTTTATCTGGGTCTCTTAAAAGCACATAAATTTTTAATAGTATGCGTGTAAAAATTATTGATTAAATAACAACCAATCACATACAAACTCATGGTCATATGGTTATAGGCCAATAGGTGTTTGGCAGTTTAGAGTTCTAATTTTAGTTAAATTCTCTTGAGCAGCTGCTGTGTGGATGAGACTGCTGCAGAACACGTTGGAGCGGACTGCATGGTGCACTACGGCAGCGCCTGCCTCAGTCCCTCTAAAAGACTGCCCTTGATGTATGTCTTTGAGAAAAGGCCTTTGGATGTGGAGAAGTGTGCCTCGGCTTTCCGAGGGCTCTACCCTGACAAACAGAGTCACACCGTCATCCTGTATGATGTCAACTACAGTCATGCTATAAGTAAGATATCCCAGGCCTATTCTCCATCAGCATGCTCAGTCCAGCAATCTCACATCAATTCAAAAAGATTTGTTAGTAATTTAATTCTCTGTAACCGAATCCAACCCATTTTATTCTTTCAGATGATCTTCTGGCTCTCCTGTCTCCAGAATATCCAAACCTTGTTGCCTCAGAGCTTGCTGTCGAGGGGGAACAGTTTTGCATTCCCGGCTGGGATAAAACACAACATAATGACACCTTCCTTTCACAGCAAGACAACAACCAGATTATTTACCAGTTTGGAAGGAGGTTCTCCTTGAAAAGTGGCTCAAGCATAACAGACAGCAGTATGTTTTATATTGGCCAGGAAGGAGCAACCCTGAGAAACTTCATGATGACTTGGAATCGCTGCTCATTTTGTTATTTTGACCCTGTAACAGGGAAGGGGAGGGCTGAGTCAGTGAGCATCAGCCGTGCACTGATGAAACGATACTACACTATAGAAAGGGCCAAAGATGCTAAAGTGGTTGGCATCCTGGTCGGTACACTAGGGGTGGCTGAATACCTAACCATCATCCAGCAGTTAAAGAAGACTATCTGCAGAGCTGGCAAGAAGAGCTACATGTTTGCCATGGGGAAACCAACTGTACCCAAACTTGCAAACTTTCCTGAAATTGATGTTTTTGTGTTAATCGCATGCCCCGAGAACTCGCTGTTGGACTCGAGCGATTTCTATAGACCTGTGGTAACACCATTTGAGATGGAGGTGGCCTGCAACAAGAAGAGAGAGTGGTCTGAGGAATATGTCACAGATTTTCGGCATCTCCTACCAGGTTAGATTGGGTTTATTCACATGAAAATGTGAATCAGCTCTCATTAGCTTTTTAGTAGAGTAAAACTTGGCTTGTTGACAGCAGCCAGTCAGAATAAATGCACAGAAAATACAGCAGTTAAAACTGACCAGGCCATATATGTACTGTACATAAAGTACAACGCATGGTCGTTAATTGTCAAGAACATTGAGGACAGAACATAAATAAGGGATTGTGCTGAAGTTATTAGTGATGAGGGGAGTTCAGATACGTTTCTGCTGAAAGGTGTGTTTATTAGGAAAACTGCAAAGTGTTTTTTACCTTTTTTCTCACCCCATATTTATATTTTCGCCTTCCCTTGCAAAATTAATAAAAAAGAGGATTCAATAGAAATGATCACGTTGGTGTGTGCAGTGGGTGACACAACCAATTCACTTAAAATCCAAGTAAATCAAAAGTGATTTGTTTCTAAACAGTGTTAGAAAACAGTTGCTGAAAATGTTAAAAGACAATTAAATGTGCTGAATTGTGGAGTTGGATCTTTTCATCATTTTTGAGTTCAGGATTTTTTGGGCAGGACAGGAATCATGGCATGATGACACACTGGAGCTATCCTTAACATAACATCTCCCCCCCTACACTGTAACATTATAAATCCCATGGCGCACAGAGCTCTATGCTTATATTTGCTTTAGGGACAAATAACATTAATGCTGCTGCCTTACTATTAAACAATAACAAAAGTAGGAAACCATGAACGGTGAATGTGTTGCTGTGGCTCTGAACTGACCATAGTTGGTGGCAGCAATGAGACGTGAGGGAGATAATGACCAAACAGCAGAAATGCTGCTTCATGAACACCAAACCCATATTTCTAATCTCACTCAGTGGTCTTTGATAAAATGCTCCTGGAGTTCCCTAGCGCATTAGCACCAGTTCTCCTGTTTGATCGTGATTTAATACATCTGCTACAGCCTACTGTTTGTTAGCTAGCTAGCTATGTGTTTGCACATTCCAAACATTGGGCATGGTTTTGGTGTCTTCACCTGACGTCCCCAACATTTCAGAGCAGAAAATATTCAATTTTTCATGATTTTCAAATCTAATTTTAAATACTTTTAACCTTTGAAATTTGTTTGGGTGGTTAATAACACATCTTCCTATGGTGTGACAAACTTGTACCACATTTATTTCTACTTTACCCTGGCTTTTAGAATATTATCTTCTGTGATTCTGAATCAGTTCACTACAAATTGATTTTTTTTATGTTTACAGAAGAAAAAAGATGGAACTCAACCACAGCGCAGCACACAAATTAGTGCCTGCACATACAAGAGTAGTCTTGTAATGTTTTTTCTTCCATGTCTGGAGGTTTTTGTGAATAATTTGTGACCCATCACCAACAGACTAATGGCATTTTTACCTCAGCATGGCTCGGTTCAGCCTGCTTTTATTGTGTGGGCACAGGCTGGCCTCCATTTCCATCTGTTTGTAGCAGCAGGGGGTAATCGTGCTAATTCGGGCTCAGCCAGCCCTGCTTCTGCTCTGGGCTGAGCTCCACCTTCAACAGAGCTGGCTCATAGAGACACGTGATTAGCTGAAATGTCCTTACACATTCAGCATTCACTCTTTTCTGTAATTTCATTGCAGCCATATTTGTAAATGGAGTCTCTCACTTGGTCTTCCGATGAGGGGTTAAAATAAAGCCCCAGTGCCATGGGCTCCATGCTGCAGGCTAGCCCCATCACACTGACACCATGAGTTATATGTTGCTTCTCAGCATCGCGCCACCCTCACGTGATCAAGATATGGAGGACAAGCAATGCCATTGCAATGCATGGAAACAATCGCGCTGACCCAGGAGCAGCTCAGTATAGCTTCACTGCACATGCCTCAGCTCGGCAGGAGAGGTCAAAATACGCCATAACCGGTAGAGCTAACACCAAACTCTGGCATTAATAAATGAGAACAGCTCGGCAACACACATTAAAGCTTTGAGTAAACTTCTGTAAACTGTGGTGGGTCAAAGAAAAGACCTTGTTTGTGCAGATGTGTGTTTGCTTAGGATAAATCTGCTCTCATAATCATAATATTGCACCTGGTAAAGGTGTAGATACATGGCTTATTTTCTTTGGGTTGGGATGGGAACAGTTTCACCTTTTTGGTGTTAACACTCACCACTTTGACTTCTGTGTTCCATTTCCTGGGAAATGAACCATATTTTAAGTGACAAGTTAACTAAATCAGTAGTGGAAGAAATGAGAATACCTGTGTTTTAATAAGCAGAGTTTCGAGGTGGAACTAATGATTATATTTGCTTGTGTTCCATTGATCATATCCATGTGGGCTGACCTATAGACTCTAAAGGAAACAACCCTTTTTTTGTAAAATTTTTGCCTAACATGAACTGACTGAAGTAAAAATATTAAATGTACAATAAACTGCAGTCCTGTATTTGAATTACTTAACACAGGATTAGGGGGTTGTCTACAGTGTCAAAAAAGAAGAATGATTCATCCAAATTAAACGGCATTGTTTCAGGAGTCTAGAGACAGTAGCCGGGCATTTGCGACTTTTCGAGGCTCCTGCTCCTTGTAGTGGTATATCCTGAGCACTGACTGGTTTTTGTCCAAAATGATGTTTCTCTAAGAAAGGGACAAGTTGTAAGAAGACATTTTCCAAGGCCTTTCATAGGCATGATCATTTTTAAATGGGCTGAAAGTCACTGGATCTAAGGTTAAGTGCAATTTATAATAATAATTAGGATTTTGCTCAGTCATTTTCACAGTCCCTAAAATCACTGTATTTTTATCAGTGGTTTAATGCAGATTATAGAAGTGTTTCGCTATGTCCAACTTATGCTTTTCCCCTCCTCTCTCTAGGCGGACAGAGTCATGTGCCTCTGGCTGATCAGCCTGAGGACAACGACGACGAAAATGATGTGTCTTTAATCACTGGAGCTCTGCGAAGCCGCAGTTTGACGAGTGAGCCTGCAGAGTCTTCGTACTGCTCTTCTGTGGTCCACAGGAACGAGATGCTGACTAGAGACAACACAAACTCAGCTGGTACGGGACAATCTGACAGTTCTGGCATTGCATTTAAAACATTTAGCTTTCCACACCTCCATACATTTATTGTAGACTTTTGCATACATACAGTTATTGTTACTTTGCAGCTTAATACATTATGCAACTTGTATAAAATCAAGTCTTGTACTGCAGTCACATTTTGACCTTCTTGTTCCAGCATCTTTTCTAGCAGAACGAAGCTGGCGTGGCTTAGAGCAGAAGGTGGGGGAGACACCTGTGGTGAAGGCAGTTGAGGGCAGAAGAGGCATAGCTATTGCCTATGAAGAGGAGGGAACATCTTCATGATAATTCTTCAGTCCTTCACAAGGACAATTACTGCTCATTCACAGGAATTTCTTGCACAAAGGATGCAGGGAATATACCGGTATTCCCATTACATTGCCCTTCCAGCCAATCCTGGTTAACTAAATAAAAAAAGATGTTGAATCATAATCACATTTCTAGATCAAGACACAGTATTTCTAAATGGGAACATACAGTATATGTCCAAAAAGAAGAGTCTCACCTCTGGAGAGCAGTGTGATTGTATCTCCTTTATGAAAATTGAGATCCTCAGGATTGGGTGACTCGTAGGTATGAAGTGCCATCAGGTGAATCTCATTTTGTGGCTTTCCACTAGTTTGCTGAAACCACAACACACAAGTGATGTTCCACTTAGTTTTGTCATAAGTCAAGCTGAAACAAATGATCTTGGTTTGGATTTATTATTTTTCCAGCCAAGTTCTACATGTATTTTTTTTGTACTTTGTGATTTCAGGCTCAATAAATTAAAAGTTACATAAGAAATCCAGCAAGAAGGGCCTTGAGGAAGTATTTAATCTTTAAAGCACCAGTACCGTAGACAAAATGTTTTTGAAATATGAAAAGTAAACATAGTCATTATGCTGAAAAATGGTCGCTGTTAGTATTTTATTGTCATTTTGTTCTTTGATTAATATTACTGCTACTTTAGGTGTTTAAAGTTGGACCAAGTTGAACAATTTTATGTACTGTGGGTAATCTGCAGCAGTGCAACATATTCTACAAGTATATTGTTTGTAGCATTACAGTCCTGTGAGAACCATGTACCTCTCAAAGTCAGTTTTCATAGATGTTTTCAGCTTTGTGACTGTGCATTTATCCCCTAATCTGATGTTCTTTTAAAAGAGTTTATCTGGCTTAAAACAAAAGACAATTGTCTTAGCCCGTAAGAAAACACTTCATTCTTCGTCTTACCAGAAACATTTAAATTCAAAATCACTACATTTGGAGATGCATGGTTTTCACTAGAGAGGAAAGTATGAAAAATGCAAAATAACTAGTAACTACAACCTTCTGTATGTGGAACAGAGTAGAAGTATAAAGTATCATAAAACTGACATACTCAAGTAAAGCACACGTACCTTGAATTTGTAATTAGCCTAAGTAAATTTACTTAATTACTTTGCAGTTTATAGGGAATATAGTTTACAGGGAAGTGCGATTATAGCGCGATTATCAATTTCTAAGAGTTGGACACTCCACCCCACCCCCACAATTATATAGTACATTTTAAAAATCTTTGTTATGCTTCCGATTAGAAAGAATATAGAAGGATGGGTCACGCTCATATAACAGACTCTTCTACGTGCATGTCTGACCTTTTCAAGATGGCTGCGAGAGAGGAAGCACCTGCTTTTTAAAATGGTTCTAAGTTGGAGAAACTATGACAATGCTTGTGACTTGTCAAAATAAAAAAAAATTTAAAAAATCACTCTCCAGGGAGCCAAGACATCTGTATAGAGAATATAGACTATAGGTGGCCAAATAATGATTAAACACTATTTATCTGGAGGAAGTTTGGGGACTTCCAGGACTGAAAGACAAGACATCAGCACGTTTCCTGACAATGCATATGACAAACACTCTGACCTTGACCTTTGACCTAGATAGGATGGATGGATGATCTGAACCAGTCTAAGGCATCATATCTTAGACTAACCCATTTTTCAGGGTGATCCAATAAGCAGCATGAAAAGCTGAGCTAAGATAAAGCAGATCACCAGTATCTGCTGCTACTAATAGATCATCAGTTACCTTATTTAGTTAGGATCTTTTGTCATATCACCTTACATGACAGTTAAATTGAATATATATTTCTTTGAGTATTCATAAAATCATGCCCAGTTGCATTTCATTGTTGATCTGATTCCATTCATAAAAACTGGTATCATTCCAACCCCCAACTCCACTATCAACCAGATTAACTGGATTGTGTGAGGCCAGTATGCACAGCATTGGATCATCACTTCTTACCTCCTTGGTGTTGCACCACAAGGTGATGCGCCTGTCGGGGGCATGACTCCACACACTTTCCATCTCTGTGTTGGCACTGATGACATTTTGTCCGTTGGCCTGAGATGTTATACTGAAATTTTTTTTAAAGTGATTAATTTTATATCGCAGCAGTTTGTACCATTTAAACTGGAAGATTTTTTGAATGTGCACTGTACCTCAAGGTGATTGCCCTAGAAGAAACGTTTAGTTTCTTACTGATCTTCTCAAGCAGTATTGCATAGGGAGACCCAGGTGGAACTGAGACCGCAAAATTGAATTTGAAACGGACTTTGACAATACAAGAGTTGTCAGTATGCTGTGCATCCTGGCAAAAATTAAAGGACAAATCACAGGAATCAAAAGGTAAATCAACCCAATATTAAACAGCATTTGTTGTGGGCTCAGCATACCTGACATGTATCTCCATTGCTGCAGTCAATGGGAGTAAGACCTTGAAAATAATGATTTTTAAAGAGGGTTATCTGACATGTGGGTCAAATGGCATTTGCTAACCTGCCTTCTTGTGTTTTGACAGTTATGTATATGGTTGGCTAGACTCTGTGGTATTTAGTCCCAACCAGTGGTGCCTACAGTATATTAGTTTGCTCAATTAGCAAGTCAGATAAAAAACAAAGGGGTTACCTTGTTTCCTTTCAGGTCGTGTTGGTGGTACCCGACTGGGAAGGGTGGGTATTCCCTGTCAATTGTTATTCCCATCCAAGTGAGGCAATTCACAATGCAAATAAATGAACAAAGTGTATGGTGTATGTAGGAAGTGTAGATTTTGGCATGACCTTGCATTTGCAACATACTGTATACAAAACTTGAAGAAATACCACATTTTTCATATGTCCTATTTTTGAAGTTGCAGATTCTGTAGAAATAAAAAATACTAACAATAATGTATTTAACATTTTCCAATTTTCTGAGAAAATGTTAGCACTTACATTGTTTCTAAAATACTCGTATAAAAAACAAGGGATAGTGGATGCATATGTTTTTAAGTATTATTATTACTACTACAGGAGTGTATTATACCTCAAACCAGGTAAGAAAATAAGAAATGATGTACCTCATTCTGTTTAGAAGCCAAGGACATCTCCAAACGTTCCAGGTAATTGTAAGGAACAAGTCCCCTCTGTGGATACATTGAGACAACTTTCTCATAAGATGATATAAATAATGCTTTACATATTACACAATAAGAAAAACAATGTGAGGTCTACTCTGAGAAAACTTCTTTCTGTACATACAAAGTAGTCTTACTCTTTCATTGAAAATCACAGACGCCCAGTTGTCAGCACCCTTATGGAGCACAAACACAACATTGCCCGGCACTACTGCCAACTCATCACTGGTCTCGGGAACAAACTCAAACAGGACAGTGTGCGGTTCTCCTTCCAAAGCCCTGTGAAGACAAGACATTCACACAGCATGAAGTAGTAGTCTTTGTTATTGGCGTTTATATCCTATATCCCCCAACTGGAAGGTTGGTTTGATTCCCATTCTCCCCAGTCCACATGTTTAAGTGTCACTGAATCCCAAAACACTGAATCCCAAGTTCCTCTAGATGACCAGGACAGCGCTTCCATCAGTGTGTGTGTGTTGGTGTTGCAGATGGCTGCCTTAGTTCAGTACCGGAGACTAAATTCTTTGTGTGTGTAACATATTTGGCCAATAAAAGTGATTATCATCATGATCATAAATTCAACATTGTCCTCTTATTTAAGCATATTAGCTAATAGTTTAGCCTGACCAAGTATTTTGAATGATTTATTATTTATTTATCTGGATCCCCATTAGCTCCCACAATAATGGGAGTCTTCCTGGGGTGCACTTATTCAAAAAATGCAATTAAAAAGTTTAAAAGTAAACATAACACAATGTTTGTTTGTTTTTGTGGATGAGCTCATTTTTCCATTTGACATATCTTCCACATAGAGTAGTCCATGGCTAATAAATGAGAAAACCACACAACAGAAGATTTTAGTGTCAAGGTCATCTGCAATCAGGTCTTGCAACAAAGCAAAAGCAGAACAACTGTTATGGTAAACCATATTTTTCAACATTACAACTTCCAGCTAAATATGATGGGAAAAGTATTCAGATGCTTTACCTAATTACGGACAATAGCTAATATCTGAGTAAAACTACTTGATTACAAGTTAAAATCCTGCTCTGAAAATAAATACTTAGTATACTAATTATACCAAGCGCTCTCGCCGCTGCACCCTGGGTTCGAATCAGGGTTGCGTCACGAAAGGCATCCGAGGTAAAACACGTGCCAAATGTCGACATGCGAGTCATCAGTGTTACGATTCGCTGTGGCGACGCCTAAACGGGAAAAGCCGAAAGTGACTTTCTAGAATGAATGAATGACACATTATTACAGACTCAAGGTCCAGGTTCAGAGACAAATAAAAGTAATAAAAGAACAGTTTAAAACGAAACAATAAAAACAGAAAATACATAAAAACGAGAACAAAAGAACACCCATAAAACTTCTGCCCCTTTAAAAGGCAGGCATACCAGTGTTTCCAGAGAACCTAAGTAAAACGCATGTCACTGTGCAACATTAGTCAACAATAAAATGATATGATTTTTTTGAACCATTCAAGCGACAAATAAATTTAAACATCAGGTTTCTTAAAACTGCGGAAAATGTACTAATTCGAGATGACACGAACAATTCACTTGCACTCGTCCATCTAGGCTTTTTCAATAATATCCTTAGGGCGTCATTGTAAGCTACTGACAGTTTCCGAAGACTGCCCTTTTTATAATTACACCACAGATGGGCAGTGTAGAAGGAAGTACAATACGCTTTAAACAAAGCCAGTTTTACTCCCACCGAGCATGCACCAAATTTCCGTGCCAGTACATTAGCTTGTACATACAACATACGACACAGATGACGGGGATATCAGACAAACAATCATTAATGACATTAACTTAACTTCACTGCACACAGTTAAAATATTGTCAGATAGCTTAAAAGAAGGAAATACAAGCGACCTGTCCTCGTTTGTACGGCATATCATAATGACATTTTTGACAGCATTATACTTGACATTGTGATGTTCCCCAAACATTGAGCACACGTTCAAGAGCTGCTGAAGACCTGCTGGAGGAGTTTTTGCTTTTATATTTACTGACTAATTCTTTTAGGGCAAATATACACATGTCAGTGCCATGGCTAGTTTTAAACCCAAATTGGTTTGCAGTAGAGCTAATAAGAGTGTGAAACCTATTCAAAAGACGTTCTTCAGCAACTTTTGAAAGAATATTAGCAAGTGCAATAGGTCTATAATTCTCCGAGCTACCCACTTTCCCTGCTTTATCCTTCACCATAGGAACCAACAGTACTGACATCAAAGAGTCAGGCAGGAACCCGTGCATAACTGAGGCAGTGAAGCAAATGGCTAGAAGAGGGGACAACCTATACTAATTATGGCAAGAAAAATAATAGTATTTGTTTAAATATAAAAGTATTCCCTTTGGAATAGTACACCAATGTCTAAGCAGAATTTTGATGTTTGAGTTGGTTTTGCTTTGTTTATATAGGACTGAAAGTAATGGTACATTTCTTATGGAATCCTGTCTTGATCGTTTAATCCATTGTTTGGCTTTTCTGAAAACTGTGAAATGCTGACAAATTATGCATTAAACATCAAATCCTCATTTTTCAGAACCTGTTCGACATTTTTACATGAAAATATGACAAGTTTCTATAAAAATAATTGCCAATAATTTTCTGTCAATCAGTAATCTGTCAATTGACCAATCATTTAAGCTCTAACCATACAGGCAGATTAATCCATAACAAGTAACATATTTTATATACTCTTGTTTTCTATGCAAACATCTTCATTTGTAGCAAGTAACAAAAGCTGTCACATACACTGTAGTGCAGTAAAAAGTATTTTACTACATTTAACCTGACATGTAGAGGAGTACAAGTATAAAGTGGCATAAAAAGATAATCCTCCAATAAAGGAGGCTCCCTCAAAATTGTACTCAAGTAAATGTATTAGGCACTCTGCAGTGGCAGTTTAGAGCACATCTCATCTGTATGTTCATAAAGGAGTGTGAGGCTGGAATGTTCTACCTGAGAACCTCGGGTTCTTTTTGACAAGTTGGACCATCTTCAACCTGTAAGATGTGGACAAAACCACAAAGCATTCAGTAACTGTGAGTGGAAATGGTTTCAAATAGTAGTTGTCCCCAAGATGGTGCAGCTCAGCATTGTAGTAATGGTTTCTTACATGTTGACATAAACTATTTATTTAACAACAGACTGTGATGTTAAAGTTCCATATCACATTTAATCTCCTAACAGGGTAAGCTAAAAATATATTTTACATTCATATATAATGAAGCTTGTACTCTCCTTCTATAGTGGCTACCAATACAGGCTAATCAAGATTGTGCATAATTTAATGTTACTAAAGCTGTGCAGTCCTATAGTCTATTGGCCAGGATTTAGCGCTCTCACCTCTGCGGCCCGGGTTTGATTCCTGGTCAGGAAGTGGGACTTTGGGCACCACTACCCCCTAGGCAACTCCAGAGAAACCTAACTTATATGGCTGCTGCTGGATTCAGGGTCTGTCTGTATGGGGGCGACCGTGGTTCAATAGGCAGACCGGTCATCTCTCAACCTGGAGGTTCGAAGCACAGTGCCTGCAGTCCACATGCCACGGGTAAAACACTGAACCCCAAGTTGCCCCCGATGGTTAGAGCCATCGGTGTGAGTTTGCGCCATAGATGGCTGCCTCGGTTCTGTACCAGAAACAAATTTCTTGTATGTGTATAACATACTTGGCCAAATAAAGTGATTATCCTTGGCCCTTCTCTCTCATTCTACCCATAGGAGCATCTTTTGAAATAGCACTACCATGTTTCCAGGCATAATTGCAACTTTAATGACAGAATACAGTATGTCGCACCAGCAAACTTGTTCATTGTCATGAAAACAACCATACAAAGACTCATCATGGGAACTCATAAACATGCAGGTTTCATTACATTGTGTCACACAACCTGGGAGCAAACACTAAACGGTCAGGCTAGAAAAAACCATTCACCTAGATGACAGTCCTGTGTTTTGGGTCCAGGACCAGTCATGATATATGGTCTTATACTTGTATAGGACTTTTCAGCACACTCAAAGTGCTTTCACACTCACACACCAGTGCCATCACTGGGAGCAACTGGGGGTTCAGTGTCTTGCTCAAGGACTCTTCAACATGTTGACTGGACAAGCTGGGAATTGAACTGCTAATCCTCCAGTTAGGAAACAACCTGCTCTACCTCCTGAGCCACAGCACTTGTCATCTGCCCCATCCCTCATCCTCCCCTTCCTAACACAATGGGGATTTATACTAAGTGTAATAATCTATACTAAGTGTTTCAGCCAGCATTGTTACAAACACTGGCACCCCACAGGGATGTGTCCTCAGTCCCATCCTCTACACCCTGTTCACCCATGACTGTGTTGCCTCCTTTAACATCATTCTAAAGTTCGCGGACGACACCACAGTGATAGGTTGCATCACTGGTGGGGACGAAGCAGCCTACAGGAGGGAGGTGGCCAGTCTGGTGTCATGGTGCAAGGACAATAATCTCAGCCTCAACATGGACAAAATGAATGAGATGGTAGTGGTGGCATGTCACCTAGGATCCTTTGCAACTTCTACAGCTGCATCATTGAGAGCATCTTGACCAGCTGCATCACTGTCTGGTATAGCAGCACTACTGCAAGGGCCTGCAGAGAGTGGTAAAGACTGTGGAGAAGATCACCAGGACTCCACTGCCCTCACTGCAGAATGTTTACCGCCATGAAATGCTGGACCTCCAGACTGAAAAACTCTTTCTTTCCCTCTGCCATCAGACTCCTAAACAGCTGAGGAGTTTATTACCAGGAAATACGTCATGTATTGTCGACTTGTACTGTTTACATTCTCAGTTTGCACATGTATAATTGCACATTGACTGTTGACTGCTGCACATGCTGCTCCCATGCAGCATACACTCTATTATATTCTTACACATTTTTATTATATTGCTGCATTTGATGCTTAAAGTGCCTTAGATTTTGTGTTACTTATTTATCTACTTTATATTTCATTTGTATTTTGTGGCATTCATGTGGACGGCAAAGTAAGAATTTCATTGTACAGGGAAACACGTTTCCTAACTGTGCATATGACAAATAAACACTTTGACTACAAAATTAGTATGGTCACTAGAGGTGATTGAAAACACACACACACACACACACACACACACACACACACACACATATACAGTATATATGTATATGTATAAATAGATAAATTCTGTATTGAGTGATGTTTATAGGATAGTCTCAGTTATTCCATATATTTCATATATATTTCATCATAATGTGCTTTTTTTGTTGCCAAGAGAAAAAAAACAAGTCAATGTCACCTGTGGCTGTAATGGAGCAAATCCAGAGAAGTCATCCTGAGGAACAACAGAGGCAACCACCTGAAAATAATATTTTAAAATAGTTTTTTTACTCTGTAACCTTTGTTGTATATTACTGATAACGTTTTAGATCAGATGTTTTTACCTTTTAAAAAAGACCAAGTCCTGTTTAAAGTCTGACAGTGACTGAGTGGCTGAGATTTTACTGGCCTGTATGAATTGGTTTCATGGTGCTATAGTGCTATCTGTAAAGGCATGTCACTAAATGAAGTGTTACCTTTGCTTTCCCCAGGTAGTCCTTCTTCTCCAGCTCAGCAACATAGTGTTTATTTGGTTTAAACAGCACTTTTGATGGGAACTCAACGGGTTTGAAAAGTTTCTGTTTCTGTTGGTAACATTTTATTAAAAGGGTTATTATAACATATGCCAAAAAAAAAAACAACAAATAAACAAAATCAGCTGCTGATACCAGTGCTAGTAAACAGAGTATCACTCTGAGCCATACTAACAAGGCCATGCAGGCCTTATCTTTACTTACTTTGTTAGGCTGATGAAAGTATATTAATGTGAAAATATAGGCACCTTTATCTACTCAGACAAAAAGTAAAAGCTAAAAACTCACGCTTTCATTTTACAAATATATTCAGTTTTAAATATGTTGAGTAATTGAATATAATGTGTGATTGACCACACCATAACTGACCAGGGTTGATTGCAGAGCTCTGTCGATGACACTGAGTTTGACCTCTGTCTTGTAGTTGAGAGCCTTCACCAGATTTTCCTGGGCCTTTTCCCAATTGCCCAGCTGAGCCTCAGCCAGGGCCATATTGTGGAGAACCTATGACATGAGACACTGATCATGTATTATAAGCTTGCCACTATTTGTCACTTAAGCCATTCTAATCCCTCATGCAGAGCACAGGATCAAAAAGCTGAGCCTTTGTTGCTTGGCTAGATGAGCTGTTGTTTTTAACAGTTTCGTAGAGGTGGATGAAGTACTACTCTGTCACAAGTAAAACCTCCTTGTTCTTGAATCATTGTCAACAGGGCCAAATTAGAAAAGTGTTCAAAATGAATGTACTTGTGCATCTCAAAGGTGTTTGACAAATAGTCTTAAACATCCTAATATTTTTAAAAAGACATAATAAGGTTTTTTTTTTTAAAATAAGAATTGGATTTTAAATACTTACCTCACATGCGTACAGTTTGTATCTGAGACCAAGTGCCTTGTAATCTATCAGCTGGTTCCCTCTTAGTGCCTTTAAGGCATGTTGGAAGTCACCTAAACTCTCCTCATACCTTTAAACAGGAATAATCCAGTTAATTACTCTTGCATGTACCAAACCACAGAAATGGTGGAAATGAGAGTACTGAATCAGTCTAAAATAATACAACACGTTGCTGTATATTAGTGTTTTTAGACATTGGTAATTATGAAAAATGAATGTAACCATGTTATTGACTTGTGTTTCTTGCCTTTTCTTTTTGTAAAAAGTAATTCCTCTTTGAAAGAAGGCAACGGCTAAATGTTCATCCTTGCGTATGCTGCAATCAAATGCCTGAGAAGAATGAGAAAACACATTGACTTCCTCTTGAAGAAAGGAGAAATAGTAAACTGTACTTCTTCTTTCTCAGTGACTTGCACTTTCAAAGTATCACAGCATTTCATCTCAAACCAAACCAGATATTACTTTTTGATGAGTATTGTTACAACATAAATACTGTAAGCAACTGTGTGTAATGTTTTATCATGCATTTTACCAGCAAAGGTCAGACCTACCTTTTCAGCAGCTTCCAGGTCTTGGTTAAGAAGGTGAAGGCAGCCAATGTCAAAATAAATTTTGGAGTTTGGCTCTTGGATTGACAGGAAGATCCTGAGTGCCTCCAACAAATCCTGTCGGTCAACACAAGTGACAGCCTCATCCCACTGGCGCAGGGTGTCTACAAAAGACATAGTTAGGTGTTAGGAGTATGCTGAAGTACAGACCAAATTAAGGAAGTTCTTCAGATATGTACCAGCGAGATCAGGAAGTGTGACGACAGTGTCACTGTTGGTACATTCATATCCTGACTAATTTTTCAGACCCGTGCTTAATTTTTTTCCTTCATGATATTAAATAAAATCTCATATTGTTACACTTTCTCCCCTTCAACATGACAGCCTATACATTATAAATGGTCTTATACTTGTATAACGCTTTTCTACACTTTACAGCACACTCAAAGCGCTTTTACACTACTTGGCCATTCACACTCCCAAACACTCACAAATTCACACACCAGTGACACCACCGGGAGCAACTGGGGGTTCAGTGTCTTGCTCAAGGACACTTCGACATGTTGACTGGACAAGCCGGGAATTGAGCTGCTGATCCTCTGGTTAGGAAACAACCCGATCTACCTCCTGAGCCACAGCCGCCCCAAAAAATTTTTTTTATTTTTGTTGAGACAATACTTTTAACATTACTTATTTTTGACATTCTGTTCCAGTGCCCCATCAGTCATCTCAATTAAATATCAATCTCTTATAAATGTGCATTTATTCTTAACAATCCACAGTTATATAAAGATAGACAAATTTCAAATAATTGAGTACAATTAGGAAAGCTAAACATTTTGATAGCTGAAATTATGCTGAAGTTGAATTTTCCCATTCATGTGAATGGAGCAAGATTTTCAAAGTAAAGCAAAATATTTCAAAAGTATGAAGTTTTGAAAAATTCTTAAGAGAAGCATGAATGTCCTTGAAGAGCTGAACATTTTGATAATGGAAATTATGCTGAAGTTCAATTTTCCCATTCATTTTAATAGGGCCAGATTGTCAAAATAAAGCTAAATATTTCAAAAGTATAAAGTTTAGAAAATGTCTGAAGAGAAGCATGAATCTCCTTGAAGAGCGGCACATTTTGATAGCTGAAAGTATGCTGAAGTAGAATATTCCTATTAATGTGAATGGGACAAGATTTTCAAAATAAAGTTAATATTTCAAAAGTATGAAGTTTAGAAAAATTTAGAATAGAAGCATGAATGTCCTTGAGGAGCTGAACATTTTGATAGCTGAAATTATGCTGAAGTAGAATTTTCCCATTCATTTGAATGGGGCAAGATTTTCAAAATGAAGCTAAATATTTCAGCAGTATGAAGTTTAAAAAAACATTCAGAAGGGATCCATGAATGTCCTTGAAGAGCTGAACATTTTGATAGCTGAAATTATGATGAAGTAGAATTTTCCCATTCATTTGAATGGGGCAAGATTTTCAAAATATAGCTGAATATTTCAAAAGTATGAAGTTTAGAAAACCTCTGAAGAGAAGTATGAATGTCCTTGAATAGCTGAACATTTTAATAGCTGAAAGAGCTGAAAGCATGCTGAAGTAGAATTGTCCCATTCATTTGAATGGAGCAAGATTTTCAAAATAAAGCTAAATATTTTAAAAGTATGAAGTTTAGAAAACTTTTGAAGAGCAGCATGAATGTCCTTGAAGAGTTGAACATTTTGATAGCTGAAAGAGCTGAAAGCATGCTTTAGTAGAATTTTCCCATTCATTTGAATGGGGCCAGAGAGAGGAGTTATATATGGGCATGTCCCAATTGCCGCTGCACTTTATGAACCACCAGATGGCACTCCAAGACTGTCATTGACTCAGCACTTTGAGCTCCCATTGACTTGTATTGCAAAAAATACAAGCAGGGATGTCCTTGAAGAGTTGAACACATAGAGATGTCAATGGCCTGTATAGCTGAAAGTATGATGGACTTATTAAGTGCCAAAAAAGGGCGGAAGATCCTAGAATAATAACTAGAGAATTGCATTTTCTGAAGAAAATGCATATGGATGCTGAGTGCTAAAAGATCATCCTGAAAATGCTGATCATTTTGACACCTGAATGGTTTTGCTAGCTGAAAGAAAACTGAAGTATAATTTTCCCATTCATTTGAATGGGGTAAGATTTTCAAAATAAAGGTAAATATTTCAAGAGTATGACGTTTACAAAAATTCAGAATAGCAGCATGAATGTCCTTAAAGAATTGATCATTTTGAAAGTTAAAATTATGCTGAAGTAGAATTTTCCCATTCATTTGAATGGGGCAAGATTTTAAAAAAAAAGCTAAATATTTTACAATTTTGAAGTTTAGAAAACTTCTGAAGAGAAGCATGAATGTCCTTGAAGAACTGAACATTCTCATAGCTGGAAGAGCTGAAAGTATGCTGAAGTAGAATTTTCCCATTCATTTGAATGGGGCAAGATTTTCAAAATAAAGCTAAATATTTTAAAAATTTGAAGTTTAGAAATCTTCTGAAGAGAAGCATGAATGTCCTTGAAGAGCTGAACGTTTTGATAGCTGAAATAATTGAAAGTATGCTGAAGTTGAATTTTTCCCATTAATTTGAATGGGTAAAATTTTGCTGAAAGACACTAAATAGCTTAAAAAGTATCAAGGTTAGAAATAAAAAAAATAACTGAATAAATGTCCTTAAAAAGCTGAACATGTCGATACCTGAACGGTTGTCATAGGTGAAAGTATGCGGAAAAAATTAAGTGCCAAAAAACGAACAGAAGAAACCAGAATAATAATAATAATTACTACAAATTGCATTTTCTGAAGAAAATGCGTATGGATGCTGAGTGCTGAAAGATCACCCTGAAAATGCTGAATATTTTGACACCTTCATGGTTTTGCTAGCTGAAAGTATGCTGAAGTAGAAGTTTCCCATTCATTTGAATGGGGCGTGATTTTCAAAATAAAGCTAAATATTGAAAATGTATGAAGTTTAGAAAACTTCTGAATAGTAGTGTGAATGTCCTTGAAGAGCTGAACATTTTGATAGCTGAAATTAGGCTGAAGAAGAATTTCCCCATTCCTTTGAATTGGGCAAGATTTTCAAAATAAAGCCAAATATTTAAAATGTATGAAGTTTTCAAAACCTCTGAATAGTAGTATGAATGTCCTTGAAGAGCTGAACATTTTGACAGCTGAAATAGCTGAAATTATGCTGAAGTAGAATTTCCCCATTCATTTGAATGGGGCAAGATTTTCAAAATAAAGCTGAATATTTAAAATGTATGAAGTTTAGAAAAGTTCTGAATAGTAGTATGAATGTCCTTGAAGAGCTGAACATTCTGATAGCTGAAAAAATGATTGTTTGTCTGATGATGGGGATATGTATCGGCAGTGCCGCATGTTGTATGTACAAGCAAATGTATTTACACAGACATTTGGTTCGTGCTCAGATGGAGTAAAATTGACTTTGTGTAGAACGTACTGTACCTCTTTGTACACTGCCCATCTATGGTCTAATTATAAAAAAAAGGCAGTCTTCGAAAAATGACAGTGGCCTATAATGACGCCTTGAGGTTATTATTGAAAAGGCCGAGATGGACGAGTGCCAGTGAACTGTTTGTGTCACTTCAAATCAGTACATTATCAGTTGTTTTAAGAAACCTGATGTATAAATTTATTTGTCTCTTGAATAGTTCTGAAAGCAACATTTTTATATTGTTGACTAATATTGCATATGGTGACTTGCGATAAACATCAGTACTCTGGAAACACTGATACCTGTCTTTTAAAGGGATAGTAGTTTATTAGTTGTTGTTTTTGTTCTGTTTTTTTTTTAAATTTGAGTCTGTAATAAAGTATATCTATCTCTATAAAATATTGAAATCATTTATTAAAGCTGACAGTATTTTGTCTCCAAGAGACTGTCAAGACATTTTTTATTTCATTTGTCATAACAACTGAGAATAGTAACATAAAAAACTGTAGTTCTACAAATATTTTACCATCAAAATATTAGACTTGTTTGTTGAAGGTCTGGAGGATTTTTTAAATAAAAGATTTAATATTTGAATGTTCAGATTCAGGTTCAGGTTTACTGTAATTTTCAGTTACACGTATATGAGAAGGAAAAGAAGAAATGGAGAGAACATGTTAAATCCATCAGTTTCTCTAGTATGGATGCTTAATCAGCATCCATGTAATAAGAATAATAATAAGAAGAAGAATAAAGACCAGGATAACATATTATGGATGCTGAATCAGCATCCATACAATAAAGACCGGGATAACATAGTATGGATGCTGAATCAGCATCCATTCATTCATTCATTCATTTTCTACTGCTTAGTCCCCGCACGGGGTGATGGGGGGGCCGGAGCCAATCCCGGCTGGTAATCGGGCGAAGGCGGGGTACACCCTGGACAGGTCGCCAATCCATTGCAGGGCTAACACATAGACGAACAACCACACACATGCACACACACTCCTATGGGCAATTTAGAGACACTAATCAACCTAAGCTGCATGTTTGTGGACTGTGGGAGGAAGCCGGAGTACCCGAAGAGAACCCACGCAAGCACGGGGAGAACATGCAAAATCCACACAGAAAGGTCCCAGGTGGGGCCCGAACCCGAAACCTTCTCGCTGTGATGCTTTACAGCATCCACACAAAAAAATCTCACAAAAACCAAAACACGAGGAAGATGGTGGCTTCAAGCGGATGACTCCTGCAGCAGATGGACTCCCTGCAGACACTAGTAAAGTTAGAGCCAGTGGGCACAATCAGTGAACTAAAATAAATGGGATGTTTTACATCAATCACCTTCTCTGAAGGCAATAATCAATCTCTAAATCTTTGCTTTGGAGAGGGATAATAAAGCTGACATATAAAAAGTGGAATAAGGGGTGACATTAAGGATGATTTTTTAAATCATGATTCACAAATCTCACCTGTGAAGCACCTGGTGGCGTTTTATTTTGGAAAGACTGTTCACTTGCAATTGCAATTCAAAACTAAAAATTATGAATAAATACAAATTTACAAATCAGTTGAATGAAAGCAGACAAAAACAATAACAAAAGGCAATGACCAAAAAAAAGTAATTAAACAAAATAAGAAACAGTCTAAATGAATATAACGTAATTTTCCTTTCTACACAACCTTTTCAAAATAAAGCTGAATGTTTAAAATGTATGAAGTTTAGAAAAGTTCTGAATAGTAGTATGAATGTCCTTGAAGAGTTGAACATTCTGATAGCTGAAAGTATGCTGAAGCATTCATTTGAATGGGGCAAGATTTTCAAAATAAAGCTAAATATTTCAAAAGTATGAAGTTTAGAAAACTTCTGAAGAGAAGCATGAATGTCCTTGAAGAGTTGAACATTTTGATAGCTGAAAGAGCTGAAAGCATGCTTTAGTAGAATTTTCCCATTCATTTGAATGGGGCAAGATTTTCAAAATAAAGCTAAATATTTTAAAAATTTGAAGTTTAGAAAACTTCTGAAGAGAAGCATGAATGTCCTTGAAGAGCTGAACGTTTTGATAGCTGAAATAATTGAAAGTATGCTGAAGTTGAATTTTTCCCATTAATTTGAATGGGACCAAAAAAAAAGTAATTAAACAAAATAAGAAACAGTCTAAATGAATATAGCGTAATTTTCCTTTCTACACAACCTTTCAAAGTAATGCTCTTATTTTAAAAGGGACACATCCTTTCTACACAACCTTTCAATCTGCCTTTTAAAGGGATAGTAGTTTTATGAGTGTTCTTTTGTTCTCGTTTTTATGTATATTCTGTTTTTATTGTTTCGTTTTAAACTGTTCTTTTATTGCTTTTTTATTTGTTTCTGAACCTGGACCTTGAGTCTGTAATAAAGTGTCATTCAAAGTAATGCTCTTATTTTAAAAGGAACACATCCCTTCTACACAACCTTTCAAAGTAACGCTTTTATTTTAAAAGGAACACTTACATTCTTCCGCCATCCGTCTGGCTGACCGTGGATCAGTTGCTGTGATGCAGCCGTCGCTAAACAAACATGGCTATGCTATATAATCATTTAGCGCTTCTTAATGACGTGTGATTCAAAAGGGAGAATTTGCGAATAATAAGCAACGTGCTAAATGTAAAGCTGTAAATGGAGAGTTTATGTATTTTTATGTTGGATAGCTCAGTGTAACGCCAGTCTTTGTGGCCGTGTGTACACACAGCTCTTCAGGTGGCTCATGTCAGCTAGCAAAATGGACCTTGGAACAATGTTGTACAACAATCTAAAAGATGTTACATGGAGCAGGAAGTCCTTGCCTTTAGACCAACTTGTCAGTACTTACAAGTTGCCTCAAATTGCAAAGCTGGATAACGGTTAGTACATTTTTAAGGTACAGCCCAGCATTTTGCTAGTTTGCTAGTTAGCAGCTAATGTAAACCAGACTGTTTGTGAGGAAGATGTGTGGTTATTTTGTGTAGGTTACATTTTACGATGAAAAGGGAAAGTTGTGTCTCTTTCGTTAAGTGCTCGCCAAATAATAGCGTTTACTACGTTAGTGTTACTTTATAGATGCCCTGTAACCTTTCTGCTGTCACTGTGCAGCTGTGTAATTAACAGCGTCGGGAAACTATCAATCAGTTAATTAAACTACAGCAGAGCTACTCTAGAGAAACATATAGTTTGGTAAACTAAAGCAGTGCAGACTACTGTGTAAAAACAATAAAACTGTCAATGTAGATACAAAACTATAACATAATAAAACTCACATGTCAGCAAAAAGCAAGACAAAAACAAAATCTCACGCAGTTTAATTTATTTACCTGAGTCAAAAAACACATCCTAAACAAAACAACCCCATCTGGGCTTTTTGCAATATATTATATATGTCTTGTAAACAAATTAAATGACGTGTTAGCTTCAGTTTTGCAGCTCTGATTTGGACATTTTCGACTGTCTGAACAGCTTGAACACTGGTCTTGTTTATACACGAGTGGTCTCTCAGTGCTCAATCAAACAGGTGGTTATGGTTACAGAAACAATGGTAAAATGAAAAATCATTTCTTATATAGTTAAAAATTATTTGCAGTTGCATTAGTTAACAATACAAAAATGGCAAAAATGTAATTTAAACACTTTAGTCACCACACAATTATAAATGTAGTTGAACTACCAGCAAGTTACTGCAAACTGTAGTTAAACTACTAATTTAATTACATGTAGATAACTACTCCCCAACACTGGTAATTCAAACCTGTAAGTAAGAGTAAAAACTGCTGTTGTCATAATAGCAAATGCACTTAGTGTTGGGGACATCATTAATACTTTATTTTGTTAGAAAAAAGTCTCACCAGTGAGAGTTTGTGAGACTTGTATAAGCTGTGTTGCCTCTGCACAGAAGTACTAGAACATACATACACCTCATATTTGAGCTTTAGGCCATGTCTATGACAATTCACTGTTGTAACATTGTGGATAATCAGAAGACAAAGAAAAGCGCCACGGGCTCTTTAATCTGAAAGAGCTCTGTTTTGACACAGTCAAAAATAGTGACATCTACTGGCCAAATACTGCAGTTGTAGGAGTGAAATACATGATAACAGGCAGTTTGAATACAAGTGATCGCAGTGTTTTAACAATGATTTAGTTCAGTAATGCTTGTATTATGAAAACAGTCACTTTAAAACAGACTGTGTTTAACTGTTGCTCCCATGTGTGAATGTGTGAGTGTTTGTGAGTGCAAATGTGTGAATGGCCAAATAGTGTGAAAGCTTTGAGTGTACTGCGATGCATAGAAAAGCACTATACAAGCACAAGACCATTTACCAAGTTGCCCCTGATGGTTAGAGCGTGAGTTGGCGCCGCAGATGGCTGCCTCGGTCCTGTACCGGAAACAAATTCTTTTTGTGTGTAACATACTTGACCAAATAAAGGTGATTATCCTTATCCTTAACTGTCCAGAAATGGCAGCATACATTTTTCTGAATGTTTTGTAAATTTGGCATACATTTGATATTCTCATATCTTTTGCACATCACAGTATTAAGTATTTCCTGGGTTGTAAGACAAGAATCTGTGATTGGTGTTGTGACTTGTAAATGTTTTTCTTTGTCTAATCCTTCAGGTCAGTTGGTAGAAGGGCTCAGAGACGGCGAGTACCTCTTGATTCATTCCTGCCGACAGTGGACGACTATTACTGCACACAGTCTAGAGGAAGGACACTATGTCATCGGGCCCAAAATAGAAATCCCAGTACACTATGAAGGTGAGATGCTGTATACCTACATAGCTGCCAGATATTGTCTTTCGATTCAGATTGTTTATTATCATTATTATGTGATCCTTATCCACTACAGTGTTTGCCTGAAGGACTATGCTTTTATAAAAGTTATATTCATTCCACAGGTTTTATTTGTTTTATGAAGCTTTGTTAAAAAAACAAAATGAGCAACTTTATTACAATTTTAAATAAAAACAACTGTTTGAGGTTAATGCACAGTAAACTTCAAATCTCTCAGATCCTGACAGTGCAGTGGAGGATGTGGATTGCTGATATTTGGCACTGCAGTCCTGTTAATGACTCTTGCCCCAATGTTGGCTTGATATTGTCTTGTGTTTTACTTAAGGTCAGTTTAAGTTACTGGAGCAGGACAGAGATGTGAAGGAGCCGGTGCAGTACTTCAACAGCGTGGAAGAGGTGGCCAAAGCATTCCCTGAAAGAGTATATGTCATGGAGGAAATCACTTTCAATGTTAAGGTACAATTTCTCTCCTAAAGAGTTTATGATGATTGACCAGAGCTTCCTGTGTTATTTTAAGTCAATATTGTTTTTATAGTCATTATTTCATCATATTTGATAATGTAGTACTATACCTCTGCAGCTCTTATCCCATCTCTGACAGCAGATATGTTACATAACTAAAGATTTCCAGTTTAGACTGTGCTCGTGGGAGTTTCATGCACTGGTGAAACAGTCATATACAATCTGAGCAGTCCAGGGAAAGGAATGGATTTACATGTTTAAAGCTTGTTAAATGTCAAAATACTAAACATTGGTTTTTGCACTACTCACGGCAGTATCATACAACTCTTAGTTACCCCCCCAGCAATGGTTTCATCTTTGGTTTCGATGTTCAGATTAAAAAGTAAAAGGGATACGTGCTTGCATGTACGTGAAAGGTCAGTGCCTTGCTTCACCACACTGCTATGCAAATGAGAAGGGCTGCATTTTTCCATGCACAGTGAAATTCTGTGAACACAGCCTAAGGTGAGAATATCTGAATAAATGTGCCAGACCAGTAAATTGGATGCTGGTGCTGTGCATTATACGTATGCACTTTTTTTTTCACATCCTTTGTCCTGTTCTGTCTTAAGCAGCTACACTCATTCCTTCCTTTTGACTTTTTATGTTGTTCGGCCACATACAATAAACAAAGGAGCTCTTCTGGCTGTCAGGAAGTCAGCATCTTGTTTTCTATGTGTGGAACACATTCTTGTACACATATCCCTGAATGTAAAGTGCACCTGTGCCCACAGTCTGCATCTGACTGAGGGCAAGTGGAATCAAAGATACCAGCAGTGTGTGAAATACAGGGCATCTTGGAGGGGCCCCTTAGCCCTTGAATACCTCAAAATGAACTTTCAGGGGTGTCTCAAAAATGTGCCAAATTATTTTCTGTTTATCTACACAGCACGATTATGACTATTTGCATGTAATGTTATAAACAGTTAATTGTTTTAAAAGTAATAAAATAAAAATATGGGCCTTATGTATTCACTGCATTTATGGCGTTGTACCAAAAGTAATCCAGAAAGTACTTGCGGTCCACGGGAGTGCACAGGCTGTTAAAGGTGCATGCTTCACCCACTTTATCTCCACCTACAGCTGCTTATGTCTGGATTAACCCATCATAAATTACAAAAGTCCCCCATGATAGAAGCAGAGGCATGTCTTTGTGAAACTTGGTTGGAAATTGTAAGTGAATGAGTGACAGCAGCGTACGGTGGTTGGACTGATTTTTACCTGCTGTCCATGACGCCTGCAACGTTGATTGGGACATCGTTACTCACTGTGGCTCTTGAGCTGCTTTCATGTGTTATATTGTTTGCTGATGTGTAAGTGGACTTGGTGCATTTGGTGCCGACTGGAGCGCACAGCAGCATTCACTGCATCCCAAAGTATACAGTGTAATTTGCATACTGGATATAAGCCTGTACTGCTACTTAACATAGGGCAGATTAAAAATGTATTGTTTCATGTTGTCTTTGCCAGGGTCAGGTTTTAATTTGAGCTTCTCTTCAGGCTTACACAAATGTTGATGTATGAGGCTCATAACTACAGATTCACTGATTGCAAATTTCTGAGCTACAGTAATTCTGATTTTTGAATTTATTTTTTTTTAAGCCTGCAGTTTCCGATTTTCTCTCTAAGAACTGTAATTGACAGCATACACAGACAATTCTGTAGAACCCCAAATCAGAAAAGGTTTGGACAGTGTGCAAAATTAAAACAGAAAACAGTGATGTGTAAACCATCTGTATCCTATATCACACTGAAAACAACACAGCAGCATACAATCTGATGTGATACCTCATCAACTTTATTCTTTGTCCAAAATAAACACTCACTTCAATTCTGATGCTGCAACACATTCCAAAAAAGGTTGGACAGTAAAGCATTGACCACGGTGTGATGTTGCCGTCCCCTTCACAACTTAAGACGTTTAGGGACGGATGCCAAGTGATGAAGTTTGTCAAGTGTAATTTTGTCCCATCCGGCCATTTCCAGTCTTCACCGATGTTCTACTTGCATGTCATTTTTTCACAGGTGGCGTCAGGGGAATGCAATGAAGACACAGAGGTTTACAACATTACACTAAGCACTGGGGATGAACTTACGTTAATGGGCCAGGCTGAGATCCTTTATGCCAAGACCTCCAAAGAAAAATCGAGATTCAACACCATTTTTAAGAAGATTGGGAAGCTGAACTCCATCAGTAAGATCGGTCGGGGCAAGATGCCCTGCCTGATCTGCATGAACCATCGCACCAATGAGAGCATTAGCCTGCCTTTCCAGTGCAAAGGCAGATTCAGTACGTGTAGTCCACTGGAGCTTCAAATGCAGGATGGTGAGCACACCATCAGGAACATTGTGGAGAAAACCCGTCTCCCAGTCAATGTCATAGTACCCAGCAGTCCACCCCGCAACCAGCACGACCTCCATCTCATCAGGGAGGGTCATCGCTACAAATTGGTCAACATTCAGACAAAGACAGTGGTTGTGTGCTGCATTCTACGGAGCAACAAAATTATCCCCACCCACTTTCCTTTTCACATGGCCATGCCTAGGTTTATTATACCAGAAGAACTGCTTCAAGGAGAGTTGTGGCTAGACACTATGGTACACCGCTGGTTTTCCTTCTGCCAGGAGCAGTTCAACATAGATGACTATTCTCGTGCTGTCCGGGATGCGAGGACCGATTGGAATGATGATGGGAAGAGTCCTAAGAAGAGCAATGGGAACGGTAATTGTGACGGAAGCAGTGGAGGAGGTGGCAGCTCCAATGGGTGTTCCACCCACATGCAGATTCCCAGCTCTTTAACTTATGCCCGGGATGAACTCACCCAGTCCTTCCACAGACTCTCGGTCTGCGTGTACGGTAGCAACCTGCACAGCAACAGCGAGGTCAACTTGCAGGGCTGTATGACCCTGTGTGGAGACTGGGCTCTTTTGCCCTCTGACAGCATTCCTTCAGACTCGGGAGAAAATGAACACTTCTTCCCTGAGCCGCTGGAAAGCACAAACCAACAACCCCCTCTCAACAAGTCAGACGTTCCCTATGAGGAGCTGTGGTTGGATCACCTAAGAGGCCGCATCCCAAAACCCTCCTTAAGTGAGGGAATCCGAAACATCAACAATGGAACAACAACAACAGCCCTGTCATACCCAGTCAGTTGTTCTCTTGGTGCAATAACTGGTTCAGATGCATCTCTTACTCCACCACCAGTCCCACCCAAGTCTGAAGCTGTGAGTATTATTCATTATACAGATTTCAGTCCTGGTTCATTTGGTGACATCTGCGCTTACTTTAGTGAAAGCAAGTGCAGTTAAAAATTACAATAAACACTTTGTGAGTAGCTACTTTGTCAGAATCCAAGAACAGCTGTTCATAGCACACCTAAACAAACTGACATAGTAAAGAATTTATAAAGGAGTAAGGTGGTGACAAATGCAGCAACTTTATGATTTCACACTGTACACAGCACAGGTAGTTTCTCATGCAGCAGGACAGTAGTGTTGGTCACCTGCCGTTGGGCTTCAAGCAGGTCATTCACACACATATTCAAAAAGCTGGGTCAACAGTGACAGATTCAAAACAATACCCAACTACATTACAAGGTAAACCTGTCCTCTGGTGCAGTGCAAGCCACAGCCAGGTGAGAGCCAGTCGCAACTATCTCAATTTGTTCTTTACTACTCCAGTACAATGCATGGAGAAACTTTAAACAACATGGAGACGCTTTGCCATGCTGTGTGTGTGACCAGTTCTCTATGTAGACAACGTGGAAACAAAAAGTGTCTTAGTGTGTAGACATGTTTCATCATGAAATAGCAGCTGCTGTTGTGTTTCAGCAGTTGAACACTGTCAGTGTGATGCAGCGGCAGTAGGATGTTTTGTTTTTGTACATAACACAGCTCTGACATGGTACAAAGAGAGCAGCAAACAGTGAAACTGGACTGTACTGGGTTTTAGGCATCAGCAATCAGGGTACCTTGCAGTTAAATTGGCCCTTCTTTATGGCTTTGTGTTTTTATACTGAGCCAAACACAGTTGGCAGAATGTCGCCCCAATGTCATTTGATGGCATCTCAGCAGAAGAGGCAGGACATGTGACGCGATGTTCAGTGCCACATATAAAGCACATAGCATACCAGTCAAAGCAGTGGCCAATGAGTATAACACTTTAATGGCTTCCACTGTATTGAACTAAGTACAGGTGTCCTTTTTGCCAGTTTTGCACATTTATGACATGATTCAAACACAAGCAGAATTGTTTCTTGTATACAGCTTGTGAATGTTTAGGGTCCATCCATCCATTATCTACACCACTTAGTCCTGAACGGGGTTGCGGGGTGGGGTGGAGCCAGAAGTCAGTTTCAAAGTGAGGTCATTTCCTTACTAGGTGAAAGAAGAATGTCGTCTTTTGAACGCCCCACCAATCCCTCCACGCAACCTGAAACAGATGCCATCGGTGCCCACTTTGTCAAAGCCACGGCAGCAGGAGACCCGATCTCCGAGTCCGACCCTGTCCTATTATTCTTCTGGTCTGCACAACATGTAAGAACTGGATGCACACCTGTGACCTGAGCCAGTGTTTGATTTAACAGAAGTGAGGTTGTGTAAACTCAGACCTTTCACAGAATGACTTTATTTAGGTTTATTTATGCTGCCATGTATTTTCTAATTGTCTGTTCAACTACCTCCTGAAATTTACTTAGATGTTTTGGAAATTTTCTCTGTCTCTTAAATATTTAATGCATATTGTCTTCATGAGATGGAGATAAAGTAATACATCTGCACATTGACCGCAGTCTTTTCTTTACCTGCCTTCTTCAGCAGCTGTAAAACCTCCCAAGTGTTAGTTCAGTTTTAAATATGTAAGTGATAATATGAGGCCTGCATGACGTTTGCTCTTATACCTCTAAATAATATTGTTTTTCTGTCAGTTGTGGAGCATGTGAGCAAGAAGCAGTTGACCCACAAGAGCGAAGCCATGTGTGCTACCCCTGTCACTGGGGTAAATGCAACACCACTGAACCAAAGGCTGCCTTGCCATCAGATGGGACGTCCTCCAGATTGTCTTGGCCAAATAACTTCAGTCGAGGAGAATTGCATCGTGTAGAGGACGGCTGTCGAAGTTACTATAGTTACCCCAGAAAGAAATCCCCAAGCAGCCCAAAAACCTGTACATCGAGCCTTGTCGACTTTGACATCAGAGAGCACGCACACCACAGTAAGGACTTCAGGTTGCAGAAAGTTTCTGTGAATCAGGTCTGCACCAAATCGTCAAGTTGCAACTCACAAATGTACAGAGACAAGCCAGCAGAAGAGCTGAACGTAAAGCAGAGCCTCTCCTGCCCCATCTTACCCCCAAGAACACCAAAACCAAACAGCACAAAGTGCACAGACTTACTGTTAGGATCCGTTTGTGACAGTAAGCAGGAAACCTCAGACTGTTCACTTAGTCAACACGAGCACAGCACCAAAGAGAGAAATTCCCCATCCTTGTCTCCCACTGCGGAGTGGCAGCCCCCGCCCAGCCTGGCTGGTCTGTCTATCGAAGAGGTGTCCAGATCTCTAAGATTCATCGGCCTGACAGACGACGTTGTTTTTCTGTTTGTGTCTGAGAAGATTGATGGGAGTTTACTCCTGCAGCTCACTGAGGAGATTCTGTCAGAGGACTTCAAGCTAAGCAAACTGCAGGTGAAGAAACTCATGCAGTTCATAAATGGGTGGAGACCTAAGATCTAGCTGCCAGTATATGACACTAAATCCTATCGTAAGGCAAAGTAAGCCATGCCTTCTGTGTATATGCTATGCACACCAAGCCACAAAGAGTGTCTTTTTGTATCCTGAATCGGGTGGGAATCTGTGACAGCTATTATCTAACTGAATGGAATCATTTGGCACTTTCATGTCAAGTATTCGGGGTCCACTAGTGTTTGTCAGTATGCAGATCCTAATGATGAGACGAGGACAGTGAAACGTTAAGAGCTATACTTGATGAGGACAGTGTGTGATTCTGCTGTTAAAGCAAGAAAATGTTTTTAAAAGTGCATCTTTATTCAGAACTGTGGTAGTTCCAATTATTGTCACAGGTGCTCGTGCGCAACTAAATGTTGGGCTTATCCAGCAAGATCTTATTTCCATGTGTTGCCTTTTTAATAGAATGATATGTCCAACTTACATTACTACTTGCTTTAACCTGAAAATTGTATACACTACAGGTAGCTCGAGGTTATTTAAAACTGAAAATAAACTGAGGGAGGCCTGACAGAAAAGATGTCCTGGATCTCAGGTCTGAAGAAGAGTCTGTGTAGAGTCAGGGCACTACATGCTTTTACAAACCCAAAGTGGTACTTCTAACTGGTCCTTTGTTCTCATTGTATGTATTGTGGGTGTTCTCTAATGCAAGGAACAAGATTTTATTAAAAAAAACTGCTTTTCTGTGCCTTAACTCAGAGAAATATGTATTTCATTTTGGCTTAACATTTAAATGTGTCATTCTGAAGTGAGGCAGTGCTGTTGAGAAGCATGTTAGCTAAAATGTAATACTGGTTTATCTTTGGTACCAGATGTGTTTTCCCTATCCTCGATTCAAGCTGATTTATTTATGCAGTTATTCTCAGACCGTTCAGATGGCTGATGTTTGAAGGTGGCACTTTTTTGTGGGGCATCAGTAATTTACTTTATATCTTTACTGTGTACATATATTTAAATGTAATTTTTCTTAAAGTGATTATTAATGTTGAAATTATTTTTATTGAGAAAATCCAATGTTCAATTTTTTTTATTAATTTTAACTTTGGTTCTACATGGGTTTATAAATCCACATCCATAAAATAACATTTTGTATAATGAGAGAGAAAACCTGCCTCAGTCACACTACACTGTGACCCAAATGGGTCCAGGTAACTTCTAACTTTGTTACAGTGCCTGTATGTTTTCATGCTTAATGGCATTTATCCCTTAACACTATTATTATTGTTATGACAGTTAATGTCCTATGCAACTGCCATGGTACTTAAACAGTCCATGGAAGGAAATATTAAGAGCTGTCATATTTGAATGACCGAAAGAGGCCATGAAGTATTATGTGTGTTAAAATGACCTGTGTTAATTTCAGCGCAAGCATGTATGCCAAGGCGAATCTCCCATGTCAGTCATTTCACTTGAATAAATCTGTGATACAGAAGGCAAACACATTACAACAACCAAAGCAGTCCCGTTAATATGCGCCATCATTAAGCAGTCTATACTTAAGTATCTGTCAGCTCTGGAATGAGACTCGTGGATTACTGCCGTTTTTGTCCAAAAAGAGGGGGAAACAACTGTGACACAGGTTTCTTAGCCTTGGTCAGCATTACTGAAAGTTGGAGTCATGAGCAGTCATTTTAATTGTTGTTTCTCCATTTTTTAAATTGCATTTTTATTCTATATTATTTGATTAAAAATGGCTTAACTGAGGCCCGTGTTTTGTTTTTTAGTTAACATTTCAGCTCTGTTCACCTCAGATAAAGAATTAAGATCCCAGCTGCACAGTCAGTCGCACAACAAAGTGATGCAAAACCTGGATGATGACAGTGATCAGTACTTCAGCAAGATATTACAGGTGATTATTAGCTGATAAGAATGCCTGTCTGTATTATACTGTACATAATACAATATCTAATATCATTTATATGCATTAGTACAAAACATAGGACTGTTATTGCAGATAGCTGGGCTAGAGCTAATTTTACATATTTTGTGTTAGACTGCAACTAACTGTTTAAAGTTATTTTTCAGTATTGTTTGGAATGTAAAATTTCTGAAAATTGAGATTTTCACATAGCTTTTTTTGTCCCACCAATAGTCTAAGCCTCAAACGTTATACAAATTCAATAAAATCATTAAAATAAGAAAAAGCAGCAAATCCTCCCATCTGAGAAGCATTCGGTGCTTTTACATAAAAAATAACTAGTTGCTGGTTAGTTTTCAGTTGTTTTAGTGGCAGTTCATTGGTGGGGTGGGGTAGGTAATTCTTTTCACCTTTGAAATGTCAGCATCATTAACTTTGTTTTCTATGCAAAGATTTCCATTTGTAAATCTTTCCCCACAGTACATAAGGATAAGGATAATCACCTTTATTTGGCCAAGTATGTTACACACACAAGGAATTTGTTTGAAGTACAGAACCGAGGCAGCCATCTGCGTCACCAACTCACCGATGGCTCCAACTGTCGGGGGCAACTTGGGGGTTCAGTGTCTTGCCCAAGGACACTTTGACATGTGGACTGCAAGCACCGAGATTCAAACTGCCTACCCTCCGGTTGGGAGACAACTGCTCTATCCACTGAACCTCTGCCCTTTTTAAAAAAAAAATTTACTTGGTTATTTTCCACTTCTACTCTTGGTGATCCTAATTTGCTACAGTTACATTCATAATGGCCGTTAAAATATTATGAAATCACATTGCACGGCATTTTTAGTAGAGCTCAGGCACCAGATTGCAGATCAGGGCCCATATTCACATTTTCAGAGAGCTTCTAACTTACAGTAGACTAAAGACCCAGGGCGAGGAGTCCTAGTGTAAAAGTGACAAGGACTGGATGGCTCATATCAACAGCCCCAGTGCCCCGTACTCACGAAGCAGCCCCCACAAAATCCCATGGGGGACCCAGTCATAGACAAACTCCAAGTACACAAAACACATGTAGACTGGGTGAGCAAACTCCCAGGATCCTTCCAGTGACCTTGCAAAAGTAAAAAGTCGGTCCAGTGCTCCAAGACCTGGGCGTGATCTGCATTATTCCTCAGAAATTTGAGGTTCAACAACTTGTTGAAGCCTCCTTTCCAGTGCTCTGGTGTAGGCTTTCCCAGGGAGACTGAGTAGTGTGATACCCTGATAATTGGAGCACACTCTCCGGTTCCCTCTTTTAAAAATGGGAACCACCATCACAGTCTGCCAGTCCACAGTCACTGTTCCCATCCTCCATGTGACATTGAAGATGTGTGTCAACCAAGACACCTCAAATATGTCCAGAGCCTTCAGCATCTCAGGGAGAATCTCATCTACTCCTGGTGCCTTGCCACAGAGGAGCTTTTTGATAACTTCAGTGACCTCGGCCAGGGATATGGCTGAGGTTTCCCCAAGTCTTCCGCCTCTTCCTCCTTCTTGGAGGACATGTTAGATGGGTTCAGAAAGTTCCTCAAAGTGCTCCTTCCACTGCCCGACAATATCCCCAGTCTGAGTCAGTGGTTCTCCTCCCCTTCCAAACAGCCTGGGTGACGCCTTGCTTTCCCTTTCCGGGTTGTACAGTTTGTCAGGACTTCCATGAGGCCAAGCAAAAATTGTTCTCCTCAGCCTCACCAAACCCCTCCCACACCCAAGTTTTTGCATTCACAACCATCTGAGCTGCAGCTCTTTTGGCCTGCCGGTACCCATCAGCTGCTTCAGAAGAACCCTAAGCCACCCAAGCCCTGTAGGCCTCCTCCTACAGCCTGACGGCTTATTTCACTGCCGGTGTTCACTAGCGGGTTCTCAGGTTGCCACTACGACAGGCAACAAAAGCCTTCTGGCCCATTTGGAATCCATGTCCCCAGCCTGCCCCGGGACGTAAGAGAAATTCTTCTGGAGGTGAGAGTTGAAGACCTCCTGGATAGCAGCTTCAGCCAGGCATTCCAAATGAACCCTCACTACACATTTCGGCATGCCATGTCTGTTCAGCAGCCTTCACCACCACCTGATTCAACTCACCACCAGTTCAAAGGTCAAAGTGTTTATTTGTCATATGCACAGTCAGGAAACATGTTTCCCTGTACAATGAAACTTTGCTGTCCACATGAATGCCACATAATACAAGTGAAATATAAAGTAGATGAGCAATAACACATCTAAATAGGCAGTAAAATAACAAATCTAAGGCACTTTAAAGCAGCAAGTGAAGGAAGCAAATAAAAATACAAGAACACAATATAATGCAAAGAGAATATATGCTACGTGGGAGCCATGGAGTGCAAATACTCAGCAGTGAGTGTGCAATTATGCATGTGCAAAATGAGTATTTAAACAGTACAGATGGAATTAGATGAGGTAGATCCTGAGTCAGCTGTTTAGGAGTCTGATGACAGTTGGAAAGAATGAGTTTTTCAGTCTAGAAGTCCAGCATTTCACACTTCTGAGCCTCCGGCCAGAGGGCAGGAGTATAAACAGTCCGTGCTGGGGGTGGGTGGGGTCCTTGAGGATCAAGGCAGCTTTCCTACACCCTGCGGTGGTAAATGCTCTGCAGAGAGGGCAGTGGAGTCCTGGCGATTTTCTCCACAATCCTCAACACTGTCTGCAGGCGCTTGCAGTCCATAGCAGTACAGGTATGTGCCAAAAAATTAGAATATCAAGGAAAAGTCCATTTATTTCAATAATTTGTTTCAAAAAGTGAAACTTGTATGTTATATTAGTTCACTACACACAAAGTGAAATATTTCAAGCCTTTATTTGTTTCAATTTTGATGATTATGGATTAAAGACAAAAAAAACCC